TTTTTTTTTTTTTTTTTTTTTTTTTTTTTTTTTTTTTTTTTTTTTTTTTATTTATTTAAATTTACAATGTGTCAACATATTGCATGTTATTACAAGGTATTATTTATATAATAAAATAATAATAATAATAATAATAATGATACGGTTTACAGAAAATAATAGTGATGTTGTTGTGGGATGAAAAATAATGGGAGATAAGATATTATATAAATATATATTTTAGTTATTAATTTAATTTTAATGAGGAATGGGAAATGTTTGGTCGATAAGATTATGGGATGCTATTAGTTGTGAGTGCTTTTAGGATATTAAACTTTAAATTCCTTATAAAATAAGTTTAGGTATATTATTAATAATTATCTACAAATCAATTTATTATAATTTTTTTTGATCAATATTTTTCTAAGCAATTTAAAATAGTAGGTAGCTATATCCTACTATAAATTAAAAAATTTTATTATTTATTTATTTTATTATTATTTTTTAATGGTAATAATTGCTTCGGTGACTGGGGCCATTGGCTACAAGAAATTTAAAATAATTAATAATTATATTACATTAAGGAATAAGTATTGTTACACTGAGTAAAAACTTATAACTACCTATATAGTGATAAAAAAAGAAGACATAAAATTAATAGCAGTAGATAATAGGTGAATACATTATACATTTTACATTTATAGACTATAGTACATGTTATATGGATACATTTCCAAATTTTATTATGAATTTCTATATCCCTTAGGAATTTGAGGACATAAATGATACCGGTGCTTAGATTTTCAGCTAGACGGTGAGGTAAATTGTACTTAAAACGATGTAGTTCGTACATGTTTTATTTTTTTGGTAGAGGATGTGTAACTCTAAAAAATCACCAAATATGCACTGAAATGTACAAAATATACATTTTTAAATTATTATACCTCTAATAATGCATTAAAAATAAGATTATTTGTTAGAATAATAGAATATATTTTGTTTAAATGTTGATGTCTGCAACCAACCTCCCCGTGGCTCGTGTCGATAATATTTTATGCAGTGAACAATATTATAAATATCTGTCTAAAAATAAAATTACTAACCAGAAAATAAATCTAATCAGCAAACTTCGAGATGTGTTTCTAAGAAAAACATGCGTGTGGGAACAGTCAACAACCATATTTACATGATCAAAATTTAAAATAGTTTTAAATTCAACATTATACAGGCTATATATAAAATACTTAAATGAAATAAACACGTCGACGGTAAAAATATTTATAAAATGATAGATTATTTAAAATATGCATCTAAAAGTATAGAACATGCATTTAATATGCAAAATGAAATTTCAAAACTAGCTTTGTTTCTTACTCTGCAACTTTTGTGATTGTGCAAAACAAACATGTAAATTCTACAAGTACTCTGCCCTATTTATCATGAACCATTTATTGTAACTTATAGTAGGTAATAGGTATCTATTAGTTAGTTGACTTGCTTCACATAATTCAAACAAATATAATTGAACTACAGTGTTTACTGTTCAAATAGGTATATTGCACACATGATCTTTCTTGATCCGTTTTTATTATTCACCAAGTATACATTTTAAAATGTCTGTTCAATATTGAGCTATTGATTCAATTCAAAATGTTCATTGTTTACAAATCGTAATTTTTATTGTTTATCTTTATGTACAATGAATGTACTGTGATTGTACACTATACATCAATATTAAAAATGTCGTAATGTAAATAAAATGGTTTAATGGGCATAAAAAAAGTTAGTTAGGGTATATTAATAGGTATGGTACATGGCTACAGACATATAAAAATCGATGTAATTTTGAAACATCAAGAACAATAAAACACTACCTACTTACTCCATAAAAAAATAACGCTAACAAAATCCACAAGTGCACTTATTGTTATTGGCGCAAATAGCGTTTGGGATTTGGCAGTGCTGAAGCCCTACTATAGTAATTATTTAATAAGCTTAAAAAAAATATACGAACTATTTGAGAGGGCTATTGACATTTTTTGGGGGGGGGGGGCTTAGCACCCATCCCACCCTTATTTGCGCCCATGTTACTTGTAAATTATAATATAAATACTGACATTCAAGAAAAAAAGTGAAATTTCATATATATTTATTAACTGTTATATTATTATGTATTATGAATAGGTGACCAATAATCATTATAACATATTATAATCTGGTTAAGTGAAGTTAATTTATTCTCTTTCAGGGTTGAGGATTGAAATATCAAAAAAGTCTTACTGTAATTAATATATAATTTTGAACTGTTAGCGTTTAGCCTCACCTTGCACATCAAGTCTGAACCTTACGCCTGCTGTGCCACCCATGTCGTTGTCGACAGTATTCAAAGTTGAGTCTGTGCTTGACTGGGGCGATGACAGTGTCGGTAAAGGTGGTCGTGACGAAGACTGCTGCTGAGGACCTGCATCTCCACGGTAAGTTACATGACACTCGTAGTCACCTGTGTCTGATTCGCGAAGACTAGAAACGTTAATAGCGATGGAGACGATATCGCTGAACTCTGGGGGTTCTACCACGGTAGTCCGTCCGTCGTACCGTTCGTCAGTGGTTAACGTACCCTCTGAACATGTAAATACCGTCTGTCCCTGTGAAAAAACTATAATAATAAATTCAACATAATCGCCAACTGTTATAGTCGATTGCTTTTCGGTTCCATACAATATATTATAATTTATAATTTATAACAAAAAGAATGACACTATTCTGAAATGTACATTTTTATACAATAATTAGTAAAAGAAAAACGCTACCTAAATTTTACATTTATGAATTAGCTGCAGGGGCGTCATTTTGGGGGCCGAGGGGATCAGGGTGTGCAACGGCAACACTAACTCAAAAAATGTTAACAATTGGCCCACCATTAATACTTCAATGCGCTATCACAATTAACTTATACATTATGTTTTCATATATAGGTAATATAGTAATATAAAATATAAAATGTATATTTTTCCCAAGTTCTTGTATATTTTTGTGTACTTATCAGGTTTATTGATTAAACTTAATTTGCTTTTTTTCAAATAACAGTGAAATGGCTTTAACTGGTTGCTTTAATTGCTTATAAGCTTTTAATTCTTTGAATTGCTAGCTCTTTAAAAGTTGCATTAGCCGTTATGAGTTTCAATTAGAATTATAAAAGGGAAGGAAAGAATATTTACATCGGTTTGCATAGGTTACCTACATTTATACATATAAATATATTTTTTTTTAATGGCCTGGTGAAATGTCAAAATTGGCCTGCCTAAAAGTTTGCACACCCAGAAAAAAAACCGAAATGACGCCCCCACTTAGGGGTAGCATTCTATTTACATTTCTTAATTCTTCACCCTATCCGCCCACCAATTCACAAAACCATTCAAGCCTAATAAAAAAACTTTCTCTTCAAAATATATATAGAGCCTCAATAGTCAATAGACCAGATGTGTTCTTGGCCTTCAGCGCGGTATCAAATACACACGACACACTGTTCATATGGTAGTGTTGTATATGTATACTCATCGTTAATAATATATAATATTATAATAGGTAATGATTATAATATATTATAATATACAAGACTACTAATAATATTATATTACAACTTATAAGCGCAGTAAAATTTACTCTGAATATTATAGTAGTACCAAGACAAATATCGATCGGTTTATTGGGTGTATCTATATACAGGTTAGGTTTCCGAATTTCCTGCTGAAACTTGCAATGAAGAGAAGACTAAAAGTAGTTTTTGTACCAAATTTGCAGGCAGTTATAATTACCATTTAGCAGCTGTATATCATGAAAATAAGCGGATGAAGTGTGGTGCACCGCTGTGCAGTGTTCGATTTACTACGTTTTGAAAAATTGTAAATTTCAATAAATAAAAAGCACTTGTACGCTTGCTATCCCTTGAGTCGACACATTCGTATACTATGTATACATGCCCTGATGCGCTTACGTACAACTGTGTATAACATTGTATAGTATACATATTTAATACCTTCTTACAACATAATATATGAACCGGCATGTATGTACAACACGGGCACTCACGTCTTTTGTCCAACGTACGGCTACAAGACGGCGAAGACCACCGTCGTGGTCGTACCGCGGTTGCGGTACTGCCGGGCATTCGAATACCGCGTAACCGCCGATCTGGGACGTCATCGAGCCGACTTCGGCCGTCTGGCCGTTACAACCAAAGTAGTCAGACAGCAACGTTGCCGCCGACAAGTGCAGGACCAGTATACCGAGCATACCGCGCGTTTTCGAAACGGTTACGATGACCGAGGTTCCAGAAGACCGATCGTTCAGAGGGCAAGCGGCACAGTGCGGAGATTGTCGCTAAAGCGTCCGTGCGGGAGGACGAGTTCGCATTATTTCACGGACACTACAAATTATAATAATATCGTAGTCGTCGTCGTCGTAGTCGTAGTCGTCGTTGTAATAACAATAATAATAACGCGCATGACGTAGGATAAATATTTACAAATAACTAAGTACAATTTACATACATCAGTTGCGGTCGGCCCACGCGATACTAAATGTATAATATTATATTATACACTAATACTTAATAATATGATAATATACCCAACACAATACATCACGAGCAGTCAGTACTTAAGCTGCTACTGTACAGTGGTGTTTTTTAGGTAGGAGTGATGCGTGGATGACGGAAATCTTTGAACCTAGCGGACATTTTTTCATTTTTGATAATCCGACGGGGTGGCAATTTTTTTATGAACAAATCGAATATTTACCATTATTTATCTACACTTTAATATATTAATGGATCGAAGTGGTACGTCATCAAACAATCAATATAATATGAAAAATAACATTAAACATGTTCTGTTATCTCAAATAAGTCACCATAATATATAATTCAAACGAATGCCCTTGTAGTTTTTTTACTGCATCAAGGAGTAAAGGATTTATTATTATAGCACTCATTTCTGATCAATTTAAATGTTCAACCTAATTTTTCAGAATATGCACTATAAAACAAATTTGTTTTGAACTGTCTTCTTTAAGTTTGAATTTGAATTAAATTATTTAAACAACTCTTAAACTTGCAAAAATGTTTTCCAGGGTTGACTCTGAAGATCTGTGGCTCATTTTCATATATGTTTCTAATGTTTCTGGTCAGTGCTCTTAATCTTCTATCATAAATGTTACTTCTTGTTTATTTATGCATAACATATTGTAATATATATTTTAAAAAATATAAAATTTATATCGCATTTTTAATAGTCTTCTAGTGATGCAATATGATTTGTTGAAATATTAACTCTCAATCAGTCAATTTATATGATAAGAAAAACTTTATAAATCTGCAGTGGTTAAAATAAATAATGTAATTCAAATTCTAACACAAAAAAGGAGGCTTTATCCTTTAATTCAACAAACTTTTGTGTTAAGAGCGTGTACATAAGAAAATTTAATTTTTTTGAAATCCAAAATATGTAGGTACATTACTTTTATAGTATCAAAGTATATTATTATATGTCGGACGAGTGAATGACTTTCAAACGTGACATTCGTACACGTGACTTATGTTTTTGACGTCCAATTTAAGGGCACCTGAACTTCCTCTAAGGAAAGCTCAGCAGCTCCAATAAAGTACCTAATTTTTCCACTAAATATAAATGAAAAAAATAGTTGTTATATTTTCTTACACGAGTCTATGAAAATGTCCATACCCATTAACCATAGGTTATGCATCATGAAATCATGATATCTATCGCAGTGACCCAACTAGAGTAGAGTTGGGTTGTACACACATATTTTCTTAGTAAAAGTGGTAACTGAAAAAAATTGTAATAACTACTAAGTAATGTACTCCGTTTCCACCTATAGTGATCGTAATAATGATGTTTACTCAATACGAAGCGGGAGAATGTCCTGATCGAGTAATTTTTTTTCTACATTTTTGCGAAAACGATCAAAACGTGAGGCTCGTCGCATGATGAACTGCAGCTTCCTGCAATCCGCGGACCGCGGTAACAGGCACGCAATCGCAAATGCACCGAGGTCGTGCCAACTGAAAACAAAAACTGCAGACGGATATCCGTCGCGTGTGTCGAATCATTGACAAATATCCCTGTAGTACCTATATCGACGTTAATTTTTTTGTAATAGTTTGAAAAACTTATACGACAATACTCGATATTATATTATAATATTCAGGTATAATGTTTATTCATACAATAGCCTCGTGTCTGTTACTATTATTAGTTATTACTTATTACATATAGTTATATCATCATGTATTTATGTACTTAGTAGGTACAGTAGTAGTACGCCTATATTCCATGAATATCAAAATACTATTTCGTAATACACTAATAGGTATCAATTTAGCCTAGACTAACAGACAACAATTCTCTACTAATACACTAATACCCATCATTTATAATAATATGTTCAATGTTCATGGCATAGAAATTAGAATTATAACTAATAATGTTTGTTCAAAACACTATAGAATTCATATTTAAGTACTATAGATCAAATTATACATAGTTTAATAGTTAGGTAGCCAATTATATACATAACAAAGAATTTTTTGAATAGAAATTATTCAAGTTATATGGTACGCGAGTATAATATGACGAAGTAAAATAATTTAAAATTCACGAACACTTATTATTTTACTGGATACACGGACATTTCCCCGAATCCATATATTCCCAAAAAACCATTTCTTGAAAATAAAAATACCAAATTATTTTTTTCAGTGCTCACCAATTGCATCTCGAAATCCCTGGACGAAATTGTCACGCAATTCGTATGCCCACTTATCGATGTTTTTATTTCGAGACGCAATTGTTGTGTATAGCTAATTGTATTTACTTAAAAATTGTATTACAATTATACTAATTATACGTAGGTAATGCTGTAATAAGTTTTATAAGTAAGTACATATGTAGTAGGCTGTGAGAGTTTAATATTCATATTACCGACTTGGCCACTTGTGTAGTTGTGTTATCTTTCATTGATAAGTATGAAATACACAAGGACTAAGACTTAGTGGTTAGGTATATAATATAGTCATATAGGTTAGGTATCCTTATAAAGGCTAAAGTAAGTAATACAAACATAATACATAACCACATAGGACATAGGTACCCTTTTATATATACTTATATAAGTATTTAATAGCAACATCTGAACATCCAAATATTAAATATGGAAAATCAATTCAGAATTTTGAAATTTTGTGTAATGGTAATGCGATTTTCCGTGAAATTGTCATCGATAAAATAGATTCGGGATTTTGGTTTTTGTTAATTAACTTTAATGGGTCATTCGGTATTCCGGTAATTATTTTACATAAACATTTACTTTTTATTATTTTAAGCCATATAACTGATAATTTATACCTAAAAAATAAAATAAAATAATTAATTTACTGAAGTTAATAAGTTAATTGTGAGTTTCCATATAATTATTAGCTTAACCGAGTTGGCAAAAAACTATAACTCTAAACTTTAAGCTTTTTAAAATGTTTTCTATAAAATTAATTAAACTCAATTAAAAATTATCATCAACTTTCCCAAGCTCGGGTCTTCCATTGTCATTGTCGCAATTATAAAGGGGTAGAAAATCTGATCCACTAAAAATAAACCATTTGAAAACCTCACCAAATACGCACAAGATAACATTTATAGTCAAATTAACTAATTATATAAGTTGTTATATTATCATATCAAACTACAAACAATGTATTGATTAACTGTACACGTATTTTATTCCACTAGAAAAATGTAAAAGTATTATTTTTTGGTGCCGTTTCCATAGTAGGTATCTATTTTTTTGTATAAATCTATCAATCTTGTTATATGATCAACAAAAATTGCAATTAGAAGTCCTCGGATAAGTTTTTAGAGGCAGGTACCTAACTCACGTATATATAATGAGTTATTATTGAACCATCTTACATCTTAAGTTTTAGTGTTGTACCTATACAAAAGCACGTTACCCTGGATACGCCGGCAAAAGTTCTTAACACGCAAGTATACGTTCTGTATTCGATGCTATGAAGGAATGTTCGACTGTTATTCGTTTACATCATTGCGCATTGGTACACCAAAATACTCGTACATAAACTGTTGTCGATCATGTCGTGTAAATCATTTAATCTAAGTGTAGTTTTAGAAATTGTAGACGTGAGTATCATTATTCCATCTAAATTGCCAATACACTGATTGTTATTATTATCTATTGCTATTTATATTATCATATTTAATTACGATTTCGATGAAAAATTCAACAAAGTAAATGAACAATATTAAATATCTTCTTAACAACAGGTCACGTGTCCCGGTGTGTGGATATGTCCAAAAGGAATGATATATCTCGATATTTGGTTGTTCGGATGTAACAGTAGCACATCGTATGTAGAACCTAAATTTCCTTTAGCTTTCAACGAAACATTTAACTTCCATAAAGTAAAATATGATTAATTCCATAATTCAGTTATTTTTATCAATTTTTTTTTTATGCAATAGACCTTTACGGAACTCTCAAACTTGAGGGACATTCAGCAAGTCTTGGAAGAAAAATGTATGAAAATAGAATTAGTGCAAGCTTACAAAAATAAACAAATCACTTTAGCTACGTTTATCTCATATGTCGATGCGGTATTATATCCCGAACGCAGTCGGTTGAGTATGAACGGAGAAATGGCATTACTCATGAAAAATGAACCTTTATTTCCGGTTAGTATAGGTATATAGAATAAATATATTGATAATATTTAAATAATAATTATTGTTATGCTAATTTTTGAGTTAATAATTTTTTTTTACAGTAATTTACATTTACATCATGATATTTTTAAGAGTGGTAAAACAATGGTAAGCAATGTAATACGTTCCTCTCAAAATGTTGTAATTTTAAATATTTTCAAAAGTAATTTATAATGGGAAAACTAAATTATTTGATTTAATTACCTGTAATCAGGGACTTATACCCAACATAATGTACTCCCCTTCCCATTGCGTGGTCAACGTTAAAAAATAAAATATTTTTATATCATTAAATACATTAAATACATTATAAAATAAAAAAAGTTGTATAATATCGAATAAAATATTAATATTATAATTTTACAATTTTAAATGCTCTTAAATTATTCTGAAATTAAAAAAAAAAGACTACTTTTATAATAGGTCACTAGTCGGTTCATTTTAATAAAATAACAGAGTAAAATTAATTATTCAGAATGTATGAGATTTACTATGTTATGGGTTGTACGACGGAAACAACATAAGCAGGTATAACTTCCGTTTAACAAATTAATATAATATTGCAATATTGTACTAATAGTTAATACCCGTTTCTAATAAGTCCTAGCATATACAATATTTATATTAAATTATATATTATCAGATATGATTACATAGGTACGGCAGGTACGATGAGTATAGCAATGCCGTAATGGATACTTTTAACAATTATTATTTGAGTAGGTACAGATGATACTGTATACGTTAATAAAACATAATTTTAATTCTACTCAAATAGGTACCTATTGCTTACTAAATAAGTTGGAATTTATTTCATAAATTTGCTAGCTTTTTTTTCTAACATATGTTAAGGTATAAATTATTATCAATCTACTAGTTATTACCTAGTTGTTAAGTAACCTATACACTATACTATTGATAGTTTTATGCCAAGACAAAATAAAAAAAGTTATTCTTTAGTATGGGACCACTCCCCCCTTACAAATTACTGGGTAGGTATTTTTAGTATATTATTATGCCTCTCTGAAATATACATTACTTTAATTTTTCGTTGTTCTTTTTATTATTATTTAAAAAGAAGCTTTGTTTAACTTTATTAATTATAATATATACTTATTGATTTAAACAATAATTATAAAAAAAAAATTAGACCATGGCTTACATCATTGGCATAATGAACAACATAAAATATAATATGTTATGATGTTCAACTACAAATAATAACAATTAACAATGGATAATCATAGGGAACTATTTCACCGAAAATTACACTGGTCACCAAGACCAGTGTTACAGAACAAATAAACGTAATTTCACGTGCAAATAATCAATACTCACCGCAATATTTAGAAACACAAAATCAATCTAACAGAATGAAAAGGGTTCATCACTCCAAATTTAAGAATTCACAGTGTTCACAATATAACACAGAACTTAGGTTGGAAAACACACTCAATTTTAACTAGGTATACACGTTTGTATTTAATTTCTTATTTATATTACTTTAATAGGACAACTAACGAAGATGGAAACATTAATTCAGATATCGATGCAGACACAGACAGTCAACTATATTGCCTAAGAGAAAAAAAGGTAATATTTATTAAAACTGTTATTAGTTATTACTTATAAGTTTACTATCAATAATTTGTGTTAATGCTTAATGTTGAATGTATAATAATATATTCACTTAAATTATTCACGATTATAAAGCAGAGACTGATACCTTTTGTTTTTTCGGTTCAGAACTTCCTGTTCTGGTGCTGGTACATAATTATTTCTTTAAAAAAGTCTGGTTCCTGTTTCGATTTAAAAAAAATATAAATTGAGGATTAAGGTTATAGGCTTATAATAGCTCTGGTTGGTATTTAATGGTTCCATACATTTTTCGAGTACGTTTTTTTATATCATTTAGAATCGGTTTAATTTATATACAATATACATAATGTAATAACTAAATAATGTATATTACCTATATTATGTGTATCAAAATAAAAAATAAATGGATTTCTTTATATCCGGAAGATTAACACAGAAGTAAATACAAAATTAATGATTATTACCAAACCCGAAAATATTCATAGACAAATATGGGTTCCTGTTATCTTAAATTCTTTCAATTTGAATTGGTTCCAGATTAAAGCATTATATTATGTATATCTATAATAATATAGTAACTATTAGATTTAAGTAGAGATTAGTCGAACTGGAGGGATGCGATGGGATAGCATACCTCCACTTTTTATAATTCAAATTTTCCATCCCTCCACTTATTTTATACGACTATTTAAGCGATATATGAGAACTGTGTACACTATGAAAGGCATCCCTCCACTTCTTTAGAGCCACTTCGAGATAGAGATTTAATATTTTAAATAAACTTTAACAATATAGGTATACAATATACATGTTTATTATTTATTTTATTTGGTTATTTTTAGTTCGTTCATAGTTACTTACTATAGTATAGTTTAAAAGAGAAGTTATATATTTTAAATTCATAATCCCTAAAGTAATTAAAAATTGATAATACGTATTAACGTAATGTCATGTTATAAAAAACATTGCAAACAATTACAATTACAATTCAAACAATAATAATTACGAAAGACTTCGTATACATTAGTACATTGTACTATTTGCACCTATAATCTATATTTATATAATAAATAGTTATATAGTACCATAGTATACGACATATTATGTATGTGTATGTGTGCACTAATATTCTTATATGCGACATAATATGTTAATATGCTCATATATAACAATAACAGTGGTCGAACTAGGATGGATACAATATTTGATATCGTCACACCTTAATTATCATTGACATATTTTATTTATGCTATAGATACCTACTACCTATACCCTATATATTATATTTCAAAATGTTGTACCCCATAAATTAAAATAAAAACTTTAAGTTTCTTATTATATGTATATCGGTCGCATAGGTAGGTACTTAAATTAATAGAAGTAGCATAAAAATAGATAAGAGAAATAAAAAAGACAGGCTCTGTTATAATTTATCGCACAATACCTTTTAACACTTTTTATAAAATGTCCTCATGCTTTACGAAGGTTGATTAATAAATATTTATAAATCTTCCTTGTACTTTAAGTTATGATTTAGTGTTTAGAATGAATTTTTTTTTTTGAGTATCAAATGTATTAAGGAAAGTAGGAAAAGTAAAAAATAGTAATCTAGACATCTAGGCCAAATCGTTGTAAGATACATACAGAACAGTAGAACGTGAGTAATACACAGATGCGTCATTTCGGTTTTTTAATTATTTGTGTTAAAATGATTGCAGGCCATTTTTAAATCATATTAACTACATACTTATATTTTTCCTATATTTATTAACGAATTAAATTTAACAAGATTAAATAAATTTAGAATAATAAATCATGTATTTATAAAGGAAAACAGTATACGAAAAAAATGAAAAAGGTAGTATTATAGCATATTATTGTAGTCTATAGAAACTGTGGCACAAACATATTGTTATTAAACGTAATATACAACTTATTTTTATTTATTGCTTACATAAATTGGTCGTCAAGACTCAAGAGATACAAACTACAAAATTGTTTCGTTTTCAAATTATAATAATTGTAAAAGACATTACAATTATACATTTTCTCTTGGTTCTTAGTTCTTGATAATTGATCAATACTCTCAATTTTCGGATATGTGGACCACAGCAAAAAAAATTTTCTTTGAGTAAAAAAAAAATATTAAAATATTTGATATCAGATTTAAAATGTACATCGAAGCATTATTTTATTTATGGAGGCCAAAGAAGGTGTTTTACAAAAGATTAATGCAAATTCACATGCTTGCACCTCTTCCCAGACGACTCCCCCGGTCATGTTATCGAGAGGCATTAACTAATTCCCATATGATAAGGGGAGGGGGAGCTATGCAGCTATCTGTAGAGTGTAAGAATAAATCTTTTAGCTATTAGTCATTAGTGTCAAGTGGTTAATAAATGGTATAGTATAATATAATATTATAATATCAATCATCCATCAAACATAAAGCCATTTATGTTTTATCACAACTGTAAAATACTATAATGGCTATTCTCCTCATTAGAGATGTAATGACAACAAATTAGGTAGGTACATTAACACTATATCTACAACCAACATTGTACATTTTTTAAAACTATTTCATTGTAGATATGGTTTATCAACCACTGGTCCACAAAACGTATTATGTGATAATATCTAGGGATAACAATTTCTGGAACAATTTAGTTTAATTTATAATTTCTAAAAAAAATGATTTCGACGAAAAAATTGAAATTTTTCGGAAAAATTGTAAATTTCCTTGCATAAGTAGTTTTATAGAAAAAATTTTTTTTCCTAATGAATTTATATCGATATATCTGATGTTATTATTAATATCTGATAAAAAAAGAATATTCTTTATTTGAATAAATTAACATTTTTTTTTGAGACACGTTTTTATTGAAATAAATTAGGTTTGTTTTTTTTTAAATTAAATACCTTATTATGCGAACATTTACCTGTACATTTAATGAGGCAATTGTTTATGAAACTTTTCAACTAACGCCAGGATAATACCAATAATATAAGATCTGATGAGTGATAACTGATGGGACGCTGGACATCACTCGGAGCTGTTTCCTTAAGTTTCAATTAACCGATCCTAGATTTGTTGTTACTTGTTGGCTATTAGACATTTATCGATTTTTTAATAAAATGATAACTAACGTAATTTGTATCTGTAACATTAACGTTATTAATCATTCAAAACCGGGTAATTTTTTATTTACGTAGAATGATAATATAATACCTATGTTGTGGCGGAAAATATGCAGCTAGACCTTGATGTTTGAACATTTGACTTTTTAGGCGCCATTACTTTTAACGCTTATAATCTGAATGTTACATACTTTAGGACTTATGTAAAATATGTTTTTATATTTTTAACTAAATCCTTAAAAATACTAGATAGATAATTTATAGTAATATAGGTAGTAGGTATTACGTAATAAATAATAATTTACTACAAAAAATCTACATTATAACATTAACTTATCTACATTCTACATCGCCCCTTTGAACTATAGGTTACAGCCAACTATCAAATAACTAATTTATTATTTATGGATACTTATTTGTTATGCAAAGTATCAAAATAAAAATTTCACTAGAGCTATATATTGTACTAAGTGACATTTTTAATAGGTTGAATTTTAATACCTATACAATGCATCCATTCCGCTTGTTTCAAGAACTACTTCGACCACTGTTAATTTACAGCATTTGCTAGTCTAAAGATACGTGTCTAACTACTCTAACTATAATAATTATTATTTGTTAGACCAATAATAACACAATAGATGGGGAGTGTCATTCGAAAAAACCTTGCAAACTCCGTAAGTTTAAATATATATATATATCTTAGAATATTTATAATATTAATAAACTTTAACGAAGGTGAACATATGAATACATCGAAAAAAAACGAGCATAGAAAGGAAACCTGCAGGTAAAATAATACAACATATAATTTTGTATTAAAATAATTGTATATCCATTTAGGTAGGTACCTAAATACAAAGCTGGGTGGTAACTACTAACTAGTCAAACAATTAAATGTTAAGTTACTTTATTCAATAACTTTTAACCTAATAAGTTCGAAAAAAATGTATAATATTCAAAATAGAACAATTTAAGTAAGTTATAAGCTTAGTTACTTTTGGCTATAAATAATTTTAAAATAACTTGGTTAGGTATTTTTCAATAGTTGAAGTGAATTCGAAAAGGTTATGTACACATTTATGTATACAATTATAAATAGGTAGTTATTTTCATTAGATAATATAATAATAATAATTCATACTTCATAATTTAAAACTTATGAAAACTTTCACATAATTGACTTTAAAAAGTATTTATAAAGTTATTAAAATATAATATTGACTACCACAGTACTACACAACCACCAAGTGCTCATGTACAGCGATTAGGTAGGTATATAGTACACGTGCTAGGTAGTCCAATACAAAACGAAAAAAGAGAATCAACGGCTGACCACAACTTTTAAAAAACTTTATTATTAATATGTAGTAGGTAGGTAGTTCTTATAATTTATCATTTGTGAACTTATTTTACAATTTTCTATTAAATAATACATGACAAATGGTAAAATAAAAATAAGTTACACCACAAATCAACTGCTTTCCAATTAATAAGAAATAATATAAGGGCGAGTAATTTAAAAAGAGCAATTTTAACTTAAACAAAGTTAATATTTTCTTAAAACAGTATTATTTAACTTGGTTACTTACTTACTCAAATGAATTTATAATTTAAAATAACTTAAACGTTAATCAAAATAAATAGTTAAATTGCTCAGCTGTGTCTATACATATACTCATAGTACATTAACACCTGTATAGGTACATTAGTTGAACAATAAACAAGTGTCTTATCAATTGCCATAGGTACCTGGTAAAAATGTAATTAGTATAACATTATATAAAGTTGGTGCATCTATCTCTTTTAGCAATCGAATAAATATAAAGGGGTCTTTAAATTTGAAAGACGCATTTTTGGATAACGATGAGTTCAAAAATACTGAAGTTAAATCAAACAAATTTGGAAAAAATATTAAAGGAACATTCAAAGTGGGAGCATGTCATCACTATAAGTGCTGTAAATCAAAGTTAAATAATAGTATGTATATTTATTTTTTTTAGTTGAACGTCATAATTTTAATCCTTATGGTAATTTAACAACATTTTTATGTAAAAGGCAGCAATACAAGCGAATCAATAAAAACAAGGTAATCATAAGGTATTTTTACAAATAAATGTATAAACTATTTGTATTTACCCATACTTATTTTAAATTGTTGATATGTTAGTGATGAAGATTCTATAACTAATGAAGAAAAAAACACTAAAATTCCTGTAATACTTGAAGATTCAGGAGAAGAACCAAAGAAAATAAATCCGAAGATTAAAGCTCGTTTCCATTTGGATGTGTATCATTGCAAATGTGGAATGCCTGACTGTATGTCAAGTCCAAGCTGGTAAAATCATTAAGTTTCAACATTTTGTTTTGCGTCTATCAGTACCTATTTAATATTGATAGTTAATAATATACCTATATATGAAAATTAAAATACATTGAACCGAATTATTATTATCGTAGCAAATTGTTTTTGAAGGGAGAACTTTTTGTAATCACTTTGCTATAATTATTTTAAAATTAAATGCAAATTAAAATTAAAAAAAAAAAAAGGAGAACTTGTAGACATGTAATACTTAATGATTGTACGTATTTGTATTTTTTATTATACTCTAATCTAGAAAACATTAGCGAAACTAGAGATAATGTCATGAATGGGTGCTCAAATTATTGTAGGTACATACATTTTATGGATAAACCGGGCTTATATTTGTGTATTTAAAAACTATACATTGACTGCAAGACGAAATGTTGACGATTCTACACTTTGTAATCCAGCTACAAACAAATAGCCAATAGGTACCTACCGGCTACCGATAAAACATCACCAATAATTATTCATAATATATTTATAACACTGAATAACAAGTTTAAGGTTCTTGGAAAACCATATATATTCCATTGATATTGAGAAATAATAATCTGTTAGGAAAAAAGAAAAATACGATTTAATAATTACTAAAAATTCATTTTTATTTGATAAGAACATACTGAGATCCAATTTATCAACACAAAAAGCGTTAATAACATTATAATATTTAAATAGGATTAACTGATTAAGGGGATACAAATATATATCTTATATTATAAATATAATATAAAATCGTAAAAATGATTGATATTATAAATGTAAATTTAAAAAAAAATGATTCGATAATAATCTAAGAAAAAAACGAGTGATGTCATCTACAAAAACAGCCATCCTCACTGCCGCTGGTGGAATCGCCGCCGTCAACTACTATGTCCTGGAGCCAGAAATCGGGGCTCTGTCGATTTGCCACTACATTCTCATAGATCAGACTTCAGGGTTTCTCAAACTGTGGTACGCGTACCCCTTGGGGATACTCAAAATGTTTTAAGGGGTACGAGTGTGGCCAACACACCAACAAGGAAAAATTTCTTTGAAAGTCTTTACATTTTTTTTATATATATTTTAGTTTAGTAACTTAGAAGGGGGTACTCAAAAAAATGTATTGACAAAAAGGGGTACAGTGTTCATAAGAGTTTGAGAACCCCTGGATCAGAGGAAAGATAGATTTCTCTTAAAGGCATTTTACACTCCTTTATCTCGTTAGTTTCAAAGTCCCATCAAGCGATAGTGTATAGCATATCAAAATGGCCATACTCTCCTCTTTATTCCTTTTTTCCTACCATCTCCCACCACTATTATCTTGAAAACGCTCCCATCACTCACCTTATATGCAGTTTGTTCTTACAGATTTTGATTTTATTAGTCAGCAATAGTTTTTGTTAGAAAACTTTTAGATTATTTTTCTTCTGTAGACTACTCCCCATTGTAGTTTTGTCCATTGATTAAATATACAATGTATATTTAATCAATATATTGTCAGAAATATAATTATGTGGTATTGTTTCCTTGTATCTGATAGTGATAGGTATTAGGTACATATTATATTATATTTTCAATTTTGTGTGTCCTATTAATAATTTATATTTTATATTTTCCTGGTTTAACCCACTTTAATAATAATACATACATAAATAAATAAATATCTACTTTTTTATGAATATGAGCAAAAATATAATATTTCTAAGCTTCTATAGAAGCCATTAATATTTAATAAAATTCTTTTTCAAAAAATATAAATGAGGAAGATTTAGCCCTCACATCCGCTTTTTAAAGCCCTTGGGTATGCTCCCCTCACAATTGCACTCATGCTAGCCAAGTATTAATGGCTTAACACAGCGTTTCCCAAATAATGGGTCGTGACCCACTACCAGGCCATGAAAATTTAATACCGAGTCGCAGAATTTAATGAAATTCTCATACTAAATTTGTTATCTATCATTTTCGTTTGATAATTTAAACTATTAAGTATGAAGTCAAAGAGACAGGAGAGATGATTCAAATGTGTTTTATTTTGCCTTTTATTACACAATGATAAAAGTAAAATATTTTGGTGGGTCACAAAGGTGACAAATATAAATTACCGGGCCAGCCCAAACAAGAGTTTGGGAAACGCTGGCTTAACATACATACCATAAAAACACAAATAAATATATGAAGTTATGCTTGTAGTAAATTTCTAATTATTAATAATGATTATGTAAAATGTAGGAGGATTATATGCAACGAAGTAAACAGGAGAGACTCAGTAGGAGATGCAATTAAATATCATATATCTCTGAGAAATTACTATAAGAGGCTTTACGATGGGACCACATATCAACTTGGTAGAAATCTACAGCTACTCTGATATCGTAAAACTTAGTCCTATCTTAAACAAAAAAAATGATGATTAGGAACATAATAAGTAATATTTAATTATGTATAGAATACTAAAATAAGTAATACAATTTATGAAAGCAATTAGATATTATATTAAAAAAAAACTTTTTTACAATTAATGTTCTTGAAATCAAAAGTTTCATCTTGTACAACACATAATATGGCCAAGTGCCCAAGCATAGTGTACACATACTGCATATCATTTTATTATACTCCACACATTTGAATACATCAATTTACTGTATAACTAGTCATATACTCATATGTATTGTAAAAAACATACATTTTTAAATATTAAATAATTATCTAGAATTTGTCAACTACCTTGTAAAGTACAGAATAGATTTTAGATAAATGAGTAAAACATTGAAAATATGAGAGATATAAGCAGAATACTTCCTGGGTGGTCATCAACTAAACCAGTAACACATTCTTTGGGCAGAGGCCAACTGTAGGACTGTAAAATTATAATATATTTAATTTAAATTTAAGTTATAATTAATCACTAAATAAGTTAGTTAATTCTATCAAAATAGTTAAAAAATGTTTGAATAGAACTATATTGAGTATAAACTTATTACTCAACTATACATTTTATAAAAATGTCTTAACATATATTTGTATAAATATAAATAATATCTATTTAAGATGACGCTATACCATTGTGTTGCACTGTTGTTATATATCAGCTTATCATCATTATATTTATATTGTATCATATTAAAATTACCTAATCACCATGAAACAAGATAAGTTTATTTTAGTCAGTGCTAATAATTATGTTTATAATTTATAAACCTACATTTATTTTGTAATATAGATCCATGTAATCATTATTTCATAATGAAGATTTACTGATAATTTGTATTAAAAATATGTGTGAAATAAACAAACAATACTATTTTCATATTCATTTGTTAATTTGACATTTGTAATTAGTTAAATTGCAAATAGTTTATTTGTGTTGAGAGTTATAACTTATAAGAATTGTTAATTCAATTAGTATTAACTAAGGCTTGGATGCTAAAGCAGCTAAAAATGGAGAAAAAAATGAAATTTAAATGTCAAAAGAATTTCAAATAATCGAAAAAATGATTGAAGTGAAAAAGTATATTCAAAAAGATTATCATTGCACATTGAACCATTGTCGTTAAATAAAGTCCACTGTGACGGTAACAATAAACACCTACATTAATCAATAATGAATGTTATATTCTAAATTTTTATTAAAATATACAGCTTAAGAAAAAAAGATTGATATGTTTGAGAAAATATTAAATATGAAATCTAAAAATGTTCAAAATCCACTACTTGTCAAAAAAGGAGTTTAATAATATGATGAGATCAACTTTACCCCATACATTAGATACTAAACTCGATGGATATAGCTGAGCTAGGTACTTGAATCTTTTAGAGCACTTCTTCAGACCAACAAACATCCATAACTAAGGTGGTATATCAATAAAAATAATAATAAATTGAAAAAATTTGGATACAAAATATACAATGGTATATCCTATTTTTATCAATAAAATATAAAAAATAATTCATTTAAAATTTTAATAACTTTATTAATTAAGTCAAATTAAAAAAATTATTAAAGTAGGTTTTATACATACATTATAATTATTAATAAGTAAATAACAAGGTACCTTAATACTGTGTAAATATTATATTTAATCATTTTGCTTTTATATTTCTCTTTACTAAATCTTTAGTATAAATATGAGTTAAAACATAATTAAAAACTTCATTCAGCTCCACCACTCTGAAAAAAAAAATATTACTTTAACATGAGAGTACAATTTGTATTTAAATGAACATACAGCAGAAATCATTCTTTACAGTTTACAATAACTAAAAACTAAAAAAACCAAAAATAGAAATATTTATCTAATTTCTTTATTTAACAGATTTCTACTGTATCATAATTTGTTTTAATTTACATACGTTAATAGCATTTATTTCAGCATCATCCATAATCACTCTTTTAAATTTTGTAGGTAGTTGGTAGTCTTCCATCGTTTTCCTTGCACTAATTGTAGAAGGTGACGGAATTGATTCAGATTTATCTGTAATATAAATTAAGATTAATATTTTCAGATCCAATGAACTTCTATGGATAAACCAATTTTATAATATTTTAATTCTGTTAACAAGATTTTGGAAATTGGTTTGTAACAGCTGGGTGAAATATCAGTTTTCTATTTTCTAATGCCTTAACCTTGAACAAAACCAAAACTCAAAAACCACTTAACCCTCCAATGAGAAATGACCAATATTGGTATATCGAGTAAACTAGTAAAGATTATCTGTTTGGATTTTGTAGTGAACATTAAATTAGGCCAATATAACTAATAGGTATTGTTGAATTAAAGCCAACAACTGTTGAAGATTTGCCAAATGAAAATAAATAATTATTTCAAGAATATAACTAAAGAAAATTAAATATAATAATCACTAGGGCCTGGTACAATTTACTTCCATGTCCTAGAAAATATTTAATTAAATTAAAACAATATATTATGAAATATTGGAATTTGTTAGTAAAAGTAAAAAAAAAGGCCTAAAAGTGTTTTACCGTTTACCTAAAGCGATCTCAAAAGAACTTACATACATTTGACGTTGGTAAATTTAAATCGCTAATGCATATGATTATAAGAAAAAAATGTACATACTTATCTCTGGAAGACCATATCGAAACTGGATTAATGGCTGATGAGGTTTTACTGTCTAAAAATATAATAAACAATTTTCATATTAGATAATATATACATATTAACAGGGCCCGAGAACATGATGCTTTTATACAGGTGTCGGCAACCAGCATGTGTAATTTTATGTTGCCTGTGAGTAAAATTTATAATTTGTATAAAAATCACAAACTAATATAGTATGGACTGGAATCTGTGAATTAAAATGTTGTTTATATCTAGATACATTATCAGTTATTACATTAACTAAACTAACAGTTATGAACTTAAATTAAATAAATTTGATATAAATAAATATTTTTGTTAGTAAAAATAAAATAAGGTACATCAAAATTGTGGCACTTGAAAAATTCATATTAATATTTTAGCTCTTGACATCAAGAAGGTTGCCGACCCTTGATTTTATATATTGCTAAGATATTATAATATTGAAAATCTTGTTGGACACAAATTAGTTTCAGAGTACTTATGTACATTCCAAACTCTACAATAAATAAATATAATGTACCAATTTGTACCTACAATTGATTAAATTTTAGTAAAGTAAATACATTTTCACTTAAAATTAAAACATTCCAATAATTATGTTTACACCAACAAAGAGGAATAATATTTTTATTTAAATACTTTTTAGAAATCTATTTTTTTATTTATTTATTTGAAAATTTATAAAAAGGTACCAAAAATATCATAAAATTAAAATCAGGAAAGGTACCTAGTTAATATTCTTGTATTTATACTTTATAGTTAATGTATATTGAGTATGTATGTATGAAGGGGCGGCTCCAGAGACATAGTTGGGGGGAGGGCCTAAGTCATAATTTTCAGAAAAATTTCAATATTATAAAAGGTTTTTTTTTAAATGTTGTTTTTAACAATAAACAATTTTTAGAAATACTGGCTTAGGAGGGGGCCCCCCTAGATCCGCCCCTGTTGGTATACTGCTTGTAAGCTTGGTTATCAAATAGACTACCCAAAGCCGCAAAGGTCATAAAAAATAGCATTCATTGTTGATATTAATCCAATCTGTAAAGAAGAAAATGACAAACCCTAACAGAATAGAAACAAAACTCAATTAAATATTTCTTTGAATGTTGCAGCTTCTTTAAGTATTTTTTTTTGAAATAAGAATCCAGAAAAGCAACTTATAAAAAGAGCAACAACTAATACTATTATTCTATTTTGATCAGGATTTAGGATAAGTTTTTTGACTAATTTCGAGATTTTTCAGTTGAACTATTTAGTTGAAAAGTGACAACATTCATTTTTAATGAGTAAAGTTCTTTCCTCTATCAATAACACTCTTGTGAACATTATCGTCTATCGACTAACACTACGAGTGAGTTAGAACTTAAAACGCACCTGATATAACCGTACGATTGTTTTGGTGTTCATGACGAACGAAGTTGAAACGTACTGCTCTAAATGTCGTAGCAAATATCACTACCGGACTATGGGAGACAAAACTAAAACAATAATTTACGAATCGAATAAAAAATACCGAAAAACAGTAATAATAAAATAATTATACTTGTCTACAATGATGGTACACTACACAGAATGTCAGAAATTATCTCGGAAATTATAATTTACTATACAAATTAGCACTGTGAATTATGAATTGTGATTGATATTTTATATTTATAATTTTGATGTAATATAATGATATATTTTGATAACAGTTACGCACGAGCTCCACCGCTAATCAGCTGCTGCCGCTGCAACTCAGTTACTTAGCAATTGTACTGATGTGTCTGATGTTTAGGTCAGCACCACAATATGGTACCCGCGATTTAAATCGTGATAGTCCCACAGGGCACAGCTGCTGATTAGTTATATATAACATATTATTGTTCTACGGATAAATAAATAAATAATATCACAGCAGGCTGCAGTAAGTTGCTGTTGCAGGCTGCTAATCAGTGTGACCATATTTAAAAAACCAAATTCCGCCACTAATGAGAATAAAAAGCGCTACGATAGCGCCACGGTTATTATCACTGTGGTACCCGCGATTTAAATCGTGATAGTCCCACAGGGCACAGCTGCTGATTAGTTATATATAACATATTATTGTTCTACGGATAAATAAATAAATAATATCACAGCAGGCTGCAGTAAGTTGCTGTTGCAGGCTGCTAATCAGTGTGACCATATTTAAAAAACCAAATTCCGCCACTAATGAGAATAAAAAGCGCTACGATAGCGCCACGGTTATTATCACTGTTATCACTTATCATTTGTTGTTATCGTAGTTATAGGTAACACATGTAAAGAAATAAATTAGTAAAAATCACGTCATTATTATAATATAAAATTTAAAATGTTAAAATACAAATACAAATAAGTAGTAGTCAAACAATTATCAATTCAACACAAATTACGTCATATCAATTCTGGTATAAAAGTTATAAAAAAAACGAGTGCTAATAAGTATAATGAATGTGTTTATTTTACATTATCTATTCTGTGAATACCAGCTATGTTCATGGTGTAAACCACAGAGTAATAATAATAAACCACGGTTGAAGATAAAACTATAGAAGAATATGATGAAATAAATACGTGGTGACAACCAAGATACGCATTATCAATAATTATCATTTATGTAAGCATTCGCTTTCGCTTAGTCGGCAACCGCCAACCGACCATTACTAGTTGCCACATTTACTATTTTACTGTTACCCTGGCGCCACTTGTGACTTACTGACTTACGAGTTTATGACGATTTATGAACTGTGGCTGTGTTTACGTATACAGTGGAGTTTTCAATTTTGCATTCACAGTTCGTGGACTTTGACGATATGACGCTTGTGTTTTAAATATTTTTGTCCGATTCTCCTCTTGTTCCAGACTAGGTATGTTCTCCTCCGCCAGATTATCGGTGTTTCGGCGAATGGTCCTCTATCAAGATAGATCTATAGTCGGACCTCAGTAAGCTACTCAGTATTACTACAAGTCAAGTACATGTGGTGGTAATTTAATGACCGAACAAAAAGAAGAAATAGACCTAGAAATACAAGTAGAAACTATGCAGACCAATCACAGCCGCAACTCTACCCTGAAAGTGATTACTTTGGTGACGTTAACCCTTCAGAATGCCATGGTTGCGCTCAGTATGCGCTATGCGCGGACCAGGCCTGGAGACATGTTCATATCATCTACAGCTGTTGTCATGGCCGAAGTGGTAAAACTCTCCGTTTGTCTGGTACTAGTATATCGAACAGAGTCTCTGTCATGGAAACATTTTATATCGATACTAAATAATACAATCATTAAACAACCGATAGACACGCTGAAAGTTTGTATACCATCTTTAGTGTATCTAATACAAAACAATTTACTGTACGTCTCAACTTCAAATTTAGATGCAGCTACTTATCAAGTCACATATCAACTTAAAATATTTACGACAGCCGTGTTTTCTGTGTTGATACTGAAACGTAAACTATTGCGACATCAATGGATTGCATTGGGAATTTTGATTTTAGGAGTCATTCTTGTTCAGCTGAATAATTCAACTGACAAATCTCAAAAAATGTACCCTAATCAAAATCGAATAGTCGGATTAGTTGCTGCTCTCATCGCTTGTTGCTTATCTGGATTTGCTGGGGTTTATTTTGAAAAAATACTGAAAGGAGCTGAAATATCAATATGGATGCGAAATATCCAGTTGAGTTTTGTTTCTGTTCCGATAGGTTTTATCATGTGTTTTGTTACAGACTGGAGCAAAATCAACGATAATGGCTTTTTTTTTGGTTATGACCTTTACATAGCCTATTTGATAAGCTTACAAGCAGCTGGAGGCCTTATTGTAGCAATGGTTGTAAAATATGCTGATAATATATTAAAAGGATTTGCTACATCTTTAGCAATTATTGTAGCATGTGTTTTCTCAATGTACTTCTTTGATTTTACAATAAGTATTCAGTTTGTTGTAGGTACAATGCTTGTTATGTGTTCAATATTTTTGTATAGTTATACCAAGCAAAAAAAATCACCAAACCTAAATACCACACAAAGAGCATAAAGTTATATACTAAAATTATTATATTTATTATGACCAAACAACTTTAAAATTTTTTAATTTTTTTATAATATGATTGTGTATATTAATATATTATAATTATCGATGGTTTATATAACTGTTATAATATTAACATCTATTAAGAATGTTTTATAGAAAAATGATGTTTTGTTTAAAATTGTACAAATGTAGTACCTATTATAATTAATATTTTCTGTATCATATTGAGTCAAAAAATGATTTAACAAATTATATTAAAATATACTCAACTGTTTTTTTTATATATATACATAGCATTAATGTTAATTATAATGTCAAATGAAAATAACTTATAAATTAATTTATAAAATAAAAAATGTATATAATTTAACTAATGTATTTTATTATATTATGCTCAAATATTGTTTTTGTATAGGTGTTTATACCTATATTTACCAAACTTAATACTAAATTGACTATACAGTATACACTATACCTACCGATAATTATTAGATTATATTCTAAAAAATATTATAGACATAAGTAAATATATTCACCTACTTAAGTTATTACTTATTACTCTTATGTTATAAGTTTAGAGTTATATTCATGATTTACAAATGTAACATTACATCACATATTGATTACTATTTGTTTTCTTCAGAATCCTAATATTCCAACACTTTCATTTATGATTAACAACTTTATAATAAAATAAAAAAAAATATTATAATACTTGTATGTTACATCTTTTAATTGAGAAACCTCTATTGATTTTAGACCAAAGTCAACAATGCGTCACTGCATTTGGGTTATAATATGAATATCATGTAATATATTGAAAAATCATCAGTTATTCATTTATCAGTTTTTGTATTTAATGATATAATTTAAATTTATTATAGTTGAATCCTCATTGGCTTGTGGCACTTATTTATTTAAAATCCTCAAAAAATATATAAAATATCATATTACAAATTATTTTGACCAAACTGATGTAAATTTTTAATCCATTTTAGTTGGTGGCAAGATAGGTTTTGAAGGATACATAGTCGCCTATTGTAGTGCAAGGTTCAAGGATTAAAATTATTTTATTTGGAATTAATGGTTCACTGAAAATACGTGCCTAATAATTATACTCATAATGAACTATGCATACAACTAAATTTCTTGGAATACCGAGATCTAATGTCCAGTATTTTTAACAGCCTCTTCCATAACACAATAGCTGAACATATTTTTGGCCTTTTTTTCTTTGGTTTCTTATGTTTATTCTGTTATTTGTAAAGGATTTGAAGCACGCCTTTGTAAGGAGATCTGTGTAGGCAATAAAAATAAAAATTTAATTATCCGTTTTCGTCGTATAGTGCCAGTGTGTGCGTAGAAAAATATGGTCATTAATCAATAGTCATTACTCATTTAGGTGTGCGATAATGTGGTTCGGGGAATTATTGTGGAATGAAAATTACTTGTTTTCGCATTACATGAACACAAAGTCAACAATTTGATACAATATTATAATCTCTTTTTAGTCTTATTATTTCACTAGCTACTATCTACTAAGTACTAACTACTACAGTACTACATAAATTGATCAATAATTTCTTCATATCGCTACGATGTTTAGATTTTAATTATGTACTTAGATATTATATAGAAAATGTCAATAGCCCCACTTCCTACCCAAAATTAAAACTATTTGAAAGTATAATTGCATTATTATTATTGAATTATTCTAGCCCCCTTACAAATTCAACTAAATATCCGACTATGTGTGGTGTGTACAAACCTTGTTACATTCTTTTTTAACATATTGTGCATTAAAAAAGTTGTTCAAAATCTGTGGTAGAATCTGAAGAAGAAATACAAAAAATACAAATCAGTTTTTCAAAATCTAATTATACCTACTAATTAGATTGATCAAAAAATGTAGATTGAACTATGTGTTTTTGCCATAAAAAACAGTACGTTCCGAATTTCCTCAATTATTTATAAATTTAAAATCCGTACAAATCTAAATTAGACACTTTAAATTAAATAAAAATTAAAATAAATTCTGTATGCATGAACAATTATTGAAATGTCCTTCCCATAGACCTTATACCAAAGTGTATCGTATACCTTATATAAGGTCCATGGTTCTTCCACAATGAATCCACTAATCCACATTCCACAGGCAATCGGCAATCAAGTACGATAGCTCTGGTTTTCTGGGCACGGACATGGTCTTAAAAGATAAAGATTATTATATTATATATTATAATTATAATATATCTTCTAAGACCGTGGCACAGATCATGCAAAAATAAAAATAGAATATATTTTCGTATAATCTGACATCCTTGGTTTGGGCGATAACAACAGCGCCATCTATCGCTATATTTTTATTCTTTGCGAGACGCAAGCGAAAAATCTACCGCAACTGCCGCTCACTTTTATCGCTAGACAGCGCGTCCATTAATGATTTTTGCTTATTATTTTAATATTACGGATTTCTCACGTCAACCTTAGATTCAGACTCGGTTGTCCCTTGTCTACGATAAATGATGATCAAACATTTCTAAGCTTAACAGCCGTTCATGATTAAAAAAAACGATAACAGGTGTCAGATAACATTTCTTGTTCCTTTGTTTGGATATCGTCTATTTTAGGGGCCTAATATATAAGTAGCCACGTATCTATATTAGTAATCTTTTAACTGTAATTTATGCTCAAAAAAAATACTCTTTTAAAGTATAAGCATACATATTCCAAGACTTAGGGAATCTATTGGTGGAACGTTTACCTCAATCGGTCAAGTAGTTCAAGAGCTATACGATTAGTAACAGAATTTACTCAAAAATTATATTATTTATAAAGGATAATAATTAATAATATATAATATAAATATTAAAACTGTATAAAACCTTTTTATCAAATTTATACAATAAAACAATAAATTAACTCATAATTGGTTTGATTCATAAAATGGTTTCATTTTCGTAGATAAAATTGTGTGTGTGTGTGGTGGGTGGAAGACGAATCTCCCACTATTTTTGTTCTCGAAACCTTGGGCAAGCCCTATGCATTGAGTGCCCTATTTACTTCTATGAATATACTTGTGTTGATGTTTAATAGCATGTATATATATTGCACAACATTTGTATTCCATAACATTTTAAATCGTGTTGGCATTTACACTTTGAGTTTTCACAACCATATACCTATATATAAATTTGTACCTATTGCCGAATGACATTTGTTATAGGTACATCGAATAATAAAAAATAATCTAAAATCAAAATAATATATACCTTATAATATATATAGACATATATATTTTATATTGATAGCTTTAATATAAAAAAAAAACCTATAGGTAATTATATTTATACAAATTCTGGTGTTTTTAATTTTTAAGTACATATTATAAACTTTATTAATTATATTTAACTTTTAAGATATAGGGGTTATGATGATTTGAAAAACACAATTAAAGAGAAATACTGGGAGTGAGCAAGTTTGGTCTATAAAATCCCCGAATGTAGGATTTATACAGGTTTACATGTTGTATTCAATATTACAACTTACGTATAATACAGTCAGTAATCACCGTTATTGGGTTATTCTATAGGGAGTTTTTTCTATTATTTTCCGAAATAAAAAGAGCATATAATATGTATATTATAATTGTATATACTGTAAACATTGAATGAAACCAGTCATGAACATATCAACGGTATTAAACGTGAAGACAATAGTGTAGATATTCTAAATTTCTAAACGTCGTGTCCAATATAATCGGCCTAGATTTTTCACTTTTTGTCGTTGATAATGAATATATCTGTTCCAGAATATTTCCATACATACCTAAATTTTTTTTCTTTATCATTTGGTTAACTTTTGAGAGTTTTTCGTGTTCTCAATTTTTAAGTAAGGCGCATGATTGTTCATTTACTACACAAATAGTTATTTTATAGTAATAATGTTTATTTTATATTATTTATGACATAGACAGTGGACTACTATATTATAACCATTTTAGATTGTTTCTTACATAACAGTACATATATAACGAACAAATTAGGTTTTTGTGTCCATTCATGAGATCAAAACTAAAATGAGACGCAAATGTTGTTTATAAGTGCAATATAATAAATTACTACTCTATGTTAACATACGATTTACATTTTAGTTAAAACTTCTTAACAATAACATTTCAATATTCTAAGAGGGTACCGCTCTTTTGTTGTAATTGTTCTTTTCTTTGATCTACCACAAGAATTCCTTGATCTTGTTATATTAATAATTTTTTTGCAGAATTTCATCAATAATTGTTGGACAGTAGGCACCTAAAAAAATAAATGCATTAAAATATTAAATTTAGTATTATTATTTATTTTTGTGTATTTTAATTTATTTTATTGCGTACCTACACCAAAGTATAATTAGGTGTAGAAAACAGTAACACATATATTTTATACAGTATTATACCCAAGACAGTAAGACTATAAATATAATTTTAAGATTTTTAATATTTTTCATTTAACTAGAAGGTAAGCTATCTAGATATCTAGGTAGTAGGTACCTAACTTGAGAGAAAAAGTTCAATATAACTAAAATATATGTTTATATTATATAAGTATGTAAATTTGTATAGGCTGTACCTAATGCTGTACCTACAGGTGCTAAATATTATAGTTTGGCAATAACTGATACAATCATAAGCTTCGCAAGTATTTTATATGATATTCTAAATTTCTATATTTATAATGAATAGTGATTACTATTAGGTATCATGAATGTTTTCGATAACTAATCTACTTTTCCTTAGTTACGCCCATGAGAACTTGGGTCTGTAAATCTGTATAAATAAAATATAAGAAAAAAGTGTTGGAATCTTGGCAGGGCCGTATTTACAATTTTTGCGCCCTGGTTCGACCGTAATTTNTTGTAACATATAAAAAATTTAGAAGTAGGTAGGTACAAACCTAATACAGTAATACCTATAACCTATATAATTATATTTTTATTTTTATTATTTTCATATTTAAAATATTATTAAATTGTATTAAATATTATTATAAAAATTAAAATAATATATGAACTATTAACGTTATTTTTTTAACTATAACAATTAA